GCATCTTCCTCCGGAAATCAACCACTGAGTGCCACTTCTGTGATTTTATCTCCTCTGATAAGTCTCTCTTCCTGGTTTTTGTCCAATGTCTGCTCACTTCAAAGCACCACAGCCATTTATGGTGGTGTGCGCATACTGAAGGCAGGAGTGACAAGTCCAGACAGATGTGGAATCACACAGCAGTGCACTTTGTCTCACACCCGGGACTTCTTCACATATTTGCCATTAAATGATCCAGATGATTGACAATAAAACAAATAAGATATTTTGATGCAAAAGGTTACTTTGCATCAAGATATCTTAAAAAGACATGCAGTTAACATGATTAGTAATGTTTTTCACGCTAAAACTAAATGCTAATGGAAAGAAAAATAAAAGACAACATCCAGCACTGTTAACAGGATATCTGACTATGTGGTAATATGACTGTTTGACTTACCCCTGTCCCATTGTCACTGACCACCACTTTCCTCCCCTGGCTGTCCATTCTTAATTAATATTGCAAAAATCAAAATACCCCCACCCGTCTGCACAGGAACCTCACTGACACACAGCCGATTGTGTGTTATGTGCAGCCCTAAGATTGCACATAAGTGTAGCAGTGGCTAAAAAGTGACAGGTCTGTTTTGCTGCTCCTTCTGGTGTGGGTGGGATTACTGAGCGTGACAACACCCATTTTTGTGGTCAGGCAGGAAGAAGAACTATTCTACACTGTGTTGTTATGAGATAAGAAAAGAGGAATTTACACAAACATGTGACTGACATTTTGCACATTTTGCATTTCACTCACCTCTAAATGTCCTTTAGTCACAGATGAGGAAACGTTTCTGTATATGTTCACTTCAAGGTTGGTAAAGAACTGTTTGTTGTTTGTTTTTGTTGCTTTGTAACATAATACTATACAATATGTTGGAGGTCTGATATTTATTAAGTTGTACTATATACCATTCGTTCATTTTTTTAAAGTTACACATCCAATATCTGAGTAGTTTTTAACCTATAACAGCCTGACGGTGCAGAACTTTTTGAATGGCAGCAGCATGTTTTCTGTCAGTGCTGACATAGTTTTAAACTGAAATCACAGAGCAACATATGATTAAAAGGTATAGTTTAAATCACTATTTGTGTTGTTATCTTTAATAACAAGATAAAAACAGTAAATTATTTGTAATTTCCCAAATTTCAGCAATTTCACAACATTTAGCGTGAATCCAAATTATGGGTGAGTGCCAGAAGAAACCTGTTTTAATATTTTACCTTTTTTTGTTTGTTTTGTAATCCCTGTAATGACATGGCTCCTTTCTGCTCGTCATGCAGCTTGCTTAGCTTCTACTTTCAACTTCTTATAGGTTTAAGGTTAAAAAAAAACGTCTATTTCCGGCCGCCATCTTTGTTTAGTTTGAGAACCAACCTCATCTACAGAGGAGCAAGTCTTTTTTGTGAAAGACAGACAGCATTTGTTCCTGGTAAGTCAGGTAAGTCTCTCCAAACAACATTTCAACATATATATTTTTTATGGGAGCTGCAGACATTTGTGAATTATGCATTTCTCTTCAGAAACGTATGCTAGCATGGTGTCTGTTAGTATAAGAGTTAGCTAGTACTATCTAGCTAACTCTTATAGATTATAAGAGATAGCTAGAACTATCTATCACAGATGGCTGTATAAACTGTCATGTGAAAAAGACCATTTCCACAGTACCCCCTTACTGCTTTCATGGGAATTTAGAGGGCTGGTATCAGCCACGTGCTGCAGATCAATTGCATTTGACTAATTGATCAAGAGCATTTGTGAGCTCCTCTCTAAAAGCAGAAGTTTTGGCATTTTGTTGGGCTGCAGCATACATGTGTGTAACATAATGCCTTTATCTTCCCAGCAAAAAGCCACTACAGTGCTCAGAGTTATTTTAAAACGACCTATACAGCTACATCTCAGAGTCTGCAGGCCTCAGTTAGCATTTTAAATGTTCAATTAGACAAACTTTTGATAAGAATGGGCTGTTTGGAAAATCTCTTTTCTCTAAAAAGAACATGGCAGCACAGGTTAAGTTTGCAAAATTGCATGTGAACAAATCAGATGATCAGATGTTTGGCTGTGATGCACGGCACCACAAATCGCAACCAAACACAGCATATCAGCTCAAACACCTCATGCACAGTGATGGAGGGGTGATGGTTTAGGCTTTGCAGCCACAGCACCTGAACACGTCGCAGTCACCGAGTCAAATTCCTCTGTTTATTAAAGTATTCTAGAGTCAAATGTGAGGTCATCTGTCCAACAGCTAAAGCTTGGCTGAAACTGTGTCATGCAACAGGACAATGATGTCAAACAGAGAAGCAAATCTACAACAAATAGTCTGAAAAAATAAAATAATCAAAGGGCTGCAATGGTCCAAAGTCCAGACCTCAACCTGATTGAAATACTGTGGTGAGACAGAGAGCTGTGCATAAATGACTGAACCGATGCAGTGTTGTAAAGATGAGTGGGCTAGAATTTCTCCACAGTGATGCGAGAGACTGATAAGTCACACAGAAAATGATTGCTTCAAGTTATTATTAACATAACTACATAAGTCCTGGTATTGCAATTGTAACTGTAACCCACTGCAGAGTAGTTTAAAAAACTCAAAATCTTTACACCTTATATTAATATGATACTTAAAGGCGTATTCAACAGGCTATATCTGATTCTTTGTAAGCCTTGAGTAAATCTGTGGCTTCATGCTGATTTTGTTTGGTGAAAAAAGCTCAAGCCTTTTGATATTGAAGGTGATTTAAAGAAAGACAAACAGTGTATTCATACTGATCATAGCTAAAAAGAGACTGCATCGCTTTGGATAAAAATAGGTTCATTTATTTACACAAAACATTACAAAATACACATTTATCATTGAAACGATACTTTATGAGAAATGATGGTCGTTAAGAAAGACAGCAAACAGTAGGCCTTTGCGTGTGTCGTTGTCATGAGGACAGTCTCATGCCTGATTAGGTCTCACTGTTCTCAGATGTAATAGGCACATTGAGTTAAGACCGACGAGTGTTTTTGATTCTTTCTGATTCCTCTTTCACCTCTGCGTCGGCTCCTGCAGGAATTCGTCGTCATCAGAGCAGCTCAGGAGCATTTCCAGCAGATTTCGATCAGCGAAGAAGGTAAAACAG